CGAGCTCGTTCCCATGAATACTGACATGGCCAGGTATCCAGAAAAACTGGATGGAAATGTAAGATAGCAAAACATGGGCATGTCGTTGTTGAATATTGACAAGAACAGGGTGAGAACTAACGTTAAGCGATTCCAGGGCTAGTAGAGAGCTAAGAGAATCAGCGTAAATAGTACAATCGCTGTACTGCATAGCTTCTACATGATCTAGGGCATGAGAAATAGCATACAACTCAGCAGTGAACACAGAAACTGTAGAGGTGATCTTGCGAGCAACTACCAAGCCACAGAAAACTATGGCAGAGCCTACAGAATCGCCCAATTTTGAACCATCTGTGTAAATAGGAAGAGAAGAATGGCTCGAAAGATGTTCAGCAAAAGAGAAGATGGTACTTCCAATCGGGAGTATCCACCTTCCTCAGATGACTCAGAAAAGGTGGAATGGGCTGATCATTGGAGACAGAAATGTCATTCAATGACAGACACAACTAAGCCAGTTGTGCCTGGATATGTACGCCAAAGGGCGTAATTGCAGACCGTCTGTTCACGGCCCACCGAGGAAGAAAGACACAGTCTCAGGTGGGATGCTCTGGTAAGGATCGAAGCTTGGTAGTATATTGTAGAGAAGCAAATGATGGAGGTGAAGAGGAGGTTTGTATACAAACTCTGGACTGGAGAAGTGCAAAAAGCCCCGGTGCAGATGGTGAATGGGGTCCAGCATCTTCAAGGCCGAAGTCCTGGCAGAACCATAGACCAAAGGCCCATAGTCTAGTTTGGATCAAATCAGGGCACAATAGATCCTGAGCATAGAACATTGATCTGCTCCCCAAGAGGTGGAAGAGAAGACACTGAGGATGTTCAGTGCCCTTGTATACTTGACACATAGCTGCTTGATGTGTGTAATGAAGGTAAGCTTACGGTCAAAGATAAGCCCCAAAAACTTTGCCTCAGAGACCACACGAATACAACATTGCCAAGATGAAGCTTGGGATTGGGGTAGATACCCCGTTGGCAGTAAAAATGCATGGAAGCAGTTTTGGAAAAAGAAAATGTAAAACCATTTGCAGTGGTCCATGTCAACAAGTGATTGAGGGCAGTCTGAAGCTGCCACTCAATAAACCTCATGTTCAATGACTGACATGAGATGTGGAAGTTGTCAACATAGAGCCAATTTACAACAGTTGGAGGAAAGTGAGTAGCGATAGCATTAATTTTGACACTAAAAAGTGTGACACTCAAGACACAGCCCTGAGGGACTCCAAGTTCCTGCTGAAAGGAATGGGATAGAGTTGAACCCACATGGACTTGGAATTGCATGTCCAGTAAAAAGTTCTGAATAAAAATGGGTAAATGACCATGTAACCAAGAGGAGTGAAGGTCCTGCAAAATGCCATACCTCCACGTAGTGTCATAAGCTCTCTCAAGATCAAAGAACATGAAAACAAGTTGTTCTCTCTTGAGGAAGACTTCTCTGATTGACGTTTCAAGTCGAATCAGATGGTCCATGGTGGAGCACTGTCGACAGAATCCATACTTGGTAGGCAAAAGGAGCATGTTTAATTTGAGGAACTAAACAAGACAAGCATTAACCATCCTCTCTAAGACCTTACAGAGACAGCTAGTCAAAGCAATGGGACAATAATTAGAAGGAATCTTGGGATCCTTCCCAGGTTTAGAGAAAGAGAGGACAATAGCCTGATGCCAAACATTAGGAAAAACATGCTCCTGCCAGATCTGGTTAAAAATAACCAGAAGAATCGCAAGAGAGGCAGGAGAGAGATGGTGCAGCATCTCATAATGAACATCATCAGGTTCGACCGATGTACTACCAAACCGATAAAGAGCAAGTTTGAGTTCCACCAATGTAAGGGGCATTATAGTCATAAAGACAGTTGGCCCGAAAGGAAAGAGGTGATCGCTCTGCCCGAGACACTTGATAGCCAAGAAAGCAGGGGAAGTAACAGAAGTGCTAGATGCATGAATAAAGCTGTGGCCGAGAGCATCAGCAATACTCTGGACTTCAGTAACTTCCTGCCCATTGGAGAGCAAGATGGAAAGAGGATGGGAAGCATACCTCCCAGTGACTTTTCAAATCTTGTCCCATATGGTTTTGGAACTAGTGGTAGAAGAGATGCTAGTAGTGAACTTAATCCAAAACTCCTTTTGGCTTTGATGTCAAACATGCCGAGCATGGACACAGGCCAGCTGATAAGCTATGCGATTAGAAAGAGAAGAATACTGTTGGAAGGTATCCCAGGCGCGTTTTTTAGCCTTCCATGCCTCATCGCAGGTAGGACTCCTCCATGGATGAGGATATCGTGGAAAACGTGTTGAGGTCTTAGGAATAAAGTGAGCAGCTGCCTGGATGAAACAGTCAGTCACTGCTGCCACACAGTCGTCTATTGATGGCAGACTTACAATGGTGGGATCAAGTTCAGAGATAGCAGTGAAAGAGGGCCAGTCAGCCTGGTCCAACTTCCATCGTGGCACTCGGGTCGGGTGGCATCGACCACTGCCAACCTTTCTCAAAACAAGAGAAAAATTATCACTGCCACGTGGGTCACTGCAGCAATGCCAGGGTTTCGTGAGCACTATACCCAAACACCAGCATCAGACATGATTTCTACAACACCTGTTGAGCATGCCCAACACTAGTACTCAGTTGATCCTAGCCTGATGGGACAAGCCAGTTGACCCAGGGGTGGGGTGGAAGGGAATTCAAAGTCAAAGTGGTGTGTTGCAGTGCCCCAGACACCACTCAACCACCAGGATCCTCTCCTCCACTTCACAGTTCGCCACGCATGGCAAATACGTGGATGGATGTTTATATCCCAGAGGAGGAAACTGAAAATACAGCGCCTTCCCTGGGAGGTTCCCTTACCACATACAGGAATTCACCTCGAGGGGATCTGTTTAGTTTTACACATAATAAACTTTTTGAAATATTTTTCCAGAGTTTTTATTTAACACGGCAGGTATAGAAAAAATGGTCCTCTGTGGATTACAGAACAAACACATGCAGAGGTTGTTATCTATATGCAAGCATTAGCTTGTGACAAGTTACTAGTCAGTACATCACAAAGGACTTGGTCTACCTAAACTTCTAAATGGTAAATGAGTGTGGAAATGGCTAGGCATAGGAAAAGACAGACAGTGCATTGGGCTAGATTCACTGCTTTACAGTGACGGAATGGGGTTTCTTGTATGTACTGGTGGTAACTGTTATTTTCTCTTTTTACATTCACATCTAAAAATGGAAGACAACTGTTAGATTCTATGTCATGTGTGAAAATTATGACATTGGGTTTTAGTGCTTTTAAGAATTCAATGAAATTGAGTAGCGTCTCTTTCCCATGTCACTATATACGTATCTTAACCAGAAATATAGTTTCTTGGCGTGTATGAATTTGTTTCCAAACAGTTCTTTTTCTATAACAGACATGTAGAGGTTACTTAATAGAGCGGAGAAGGGGGATCCCATTACTAATCCATTATTACTGCTCTACATATGTAAAATAAGTCTTCTAGTTTTTCTTTTAGACATCTTAAGGCTTGTTCAATAGGTATTGAGGTAATCAAGGATTGTATAATATATTTTCTTGGTTTAACTTGAAGTTTCTAATTCTATTGACAAAACATAGAGAATTTTTGAGAGAATAGAGATTTGTTTCAATCATTATGCTGCCACACATAAGATCTAATCATCATCTATTGCACAAAATATCCTTCTACTTCACCTACGTAAATCATGCTATACAACTTTGCACCCACAAAAAAGAGTTACTTATTGAATTGAACTACCTTAAGAACATAGCACTATCTAGAGGTTTTAACCCCAATATCATAGGTAACGCTTGTATCACACTTCAAAACAGTGAAAAAGATTAGATTAACCTCTAACCTTTCACCTATCAACAACACAAAAGAAATTTGTTTCATTCCCTTTGGTGCAAGAAATTTCTAACAAAATTACTAGACCTTTTAATAATCTGAACATTGATGTAAAAAAGTGTATTCAAACCCTCACATGAAATTAACATCTTGCTACCTAACCCAAAAGAATCCCTATTAAAAGAATTAAAACAGAGTATATACAGTAACACATGTAAATGTGGAAAGAAATACACAAGACAAATGTCATGTCCCTTAGAAACAAGATGTAAAGACACCAAGGTCACATGGGTAGAGGTGATTTCCAGATATCTGTCTTAACATATCATCAATATGAAACAGGTTACAAAATACTTTGGAATGAAATTCTTCTCCTACACCAACTGAAAACTAATAAAAAAGAGACTGCTTAGAAACTATAGAGATCATCAAAGCAAATGACCTCTCACTAAACTGTGATAATGGCCCCACCAATATAGCCATATTTGGCAAGGTGTATTCTTTGTTTATACACTTCGCCAGTCTTGACCTCTGCTTATGTTACCTGCTGACACCATTTCTATCGCATTTAATCCCTATTGTCTTTGTAATGATGTATAAACCTTGGATTGCTTAGTATTGATCATACCTGAAGAAAACAGACCAATGTACTACCTAAACAAGTAGTATGTTCCACCATCAATAAAACTTTTCCTTATGCTTAGAAATTCCTGTTTGCCTACCTATTATTGTGAAGAATAAAAATGTGTATCCATTGTACAGTTTGCAAACTGCATCTTCATAATTTTTATGACTTGCTAAATACATATCTAAAGTTTTTTCAGTAAAAGAATATTTTTTCTGGTAATTAGTTGTATTATAATTTTTACAATGTCTTCTATTCACCACTGTATACATTATAATCACTGAAAAATAATGCTTGATAAACTTGTATAATGAGTAATTATCAACTTAACGTTGTTTTTAATTTAGCACATTTTGCATTTCATTCTAAATATATCAAAGGTTATTATGTTAATTATATATATAATATTTTTGCTCAGAAATTTCAGTGGATATTTAAGGTGCTGTTATAGCCAAAAAATTTATTTTGATTTATTTCAAATATTTAGGGAATCAGCATCTGCTAAAAGTGTACCAGAAGAAAAAGTCTTTTCGCAAGATGATTTGGAGAAAACTAATGTTATCCCTTCTGGTAATGAGAACTCTGAAAATACCGAAATATCTCATCTTGCTGCTTCATCTGGAGATAGTTTTTCTCCAACAGATAATGAACAAGTAGCAGAAGCGGTGGGTGAAACTGAACTTTCTGGCATTACTCACAATCTCCAGGAATCTGAGAGCAGTAGAGTAACTTTCTTAGGAGCTTCTACAAGTAGAACTAATGATGTTAGTAATCAGGAAGGAAATGGAGACCATGTAACAAGGGAACATCAAGAAGAAGATACAATATCACCTGATTTAGGACAGAGTTTGGAAGAAGCATTGTTTGGGTCCAATACATCTAGTGATAATACCTTGATTCAGAATGTTGGAGAGAGAGAAGACTCTGTAAATGATGTTCTTGAAGACAGAAATCATAATATCAGAAGTGAGGAGTCTGCTGAAATGTGTCATGATTTGAACTTGGAACCTTCCAAACCTGATAAGAAGGAATGGACCTTGGAAGATCTGCATACCCAGCGAAGGAAGTTTAATCTGGACCTAGCACCAAAAGTAATCCCATGTATTATCTTTTTGTTGGAGTCCTGTAAAATGTTAAAAGAAAACATTATACTAAATGAAAATATATAATAGTTTAGTAATTATTTACACAAAATAAAACAAAAGTAAAGGGCAATAGGAATTTATTATATTTTAGCTATGGCAAAGCAAAATCTACCTACGCACCTAATATCATCCCCTCAATTTATTTTTCTACATATTGGGTATCTGATGAGTCTTAATATGATCTGAACTGTGAATTGTTAGTCCTTCATCCTAAGTTTGTAAATGAACATATGGCAGAGGTGACTTTACAGATTGTAACATTTACTTCATTATGGGTCATGGTCTTGATTAAAAGCAAGAACACCATGGACACTTGTGTGTCTCGAGTCATTCAACAGAGTGTGACATGTCTCAAAAAATATCATCCCATTTGTGTTTGATGGAAATAAAGTCCAGTGAGTAGACAGGTTGCTTCAGTCCACTTTGACTGTGTATAGTTATTGGGCAGCCTTGTTGACCATCTTTCATTTCTCAAGGTTTCATCTTGTTTTGTCTTCTCCTGTGCTTTTCCTCCTTTTCCATTCCTTTGAATTGCTTATTGGGATCTCAGTGTGGTCCTTTATACCCTTTCTCATCCTCCGTTTAAACCTTTGTCTTTGTGTTCCATCTACCTTCTCTCCCCCAAGACATATTTCCTCCTCCTCCTTTCTTGCAGTCATCATCATTTAGGTATTTATGCCTTTACCATTCCTCCTATGTCATCCACTATCCTTCCTCCATAAGACCTATTCTGCCAGTTTAGGTGATTTGGCTTTCCTACCCATTCCTCACCTTCCATTTCCCACCTATACTCCCATTCCAATCCTGATCAGTTTATTTGTCAGCTTTACAGCTTAATGTGATATGTGACATGTACTGCCTACTTTTCACGTTCCCAACCTTTTATTCCCAGAAATCCTTTCCTTTCCAATGATCTGTCCCCTGTCATGCTTACTGGATGGGTTCATGAAATTATTAGGTTGATGTATTTGGACTTAACCATGGAAGGTCACCATCTTCACAACATTTCTTTTCATTAGATTTGTCACATCACTATATTCTTGGTTGTACAACTTTAGCTTCCTTTGAAAGAGATCGTTCAGGCCAGAATGTGCACTAGTCCCAATACCTTTGTCTTTCATTATCTGCATGACCTAACTATATCTTCCTCTAGTGGATATTATATTCCTCCCATGGCAATTCTACACATGTCAGTTCTTCTTTGACTGGTGTATGTCTTATCATTTTGTTTCATTTATGTTTTTATTTCAGAAACCCTAGTTTTAACCACTAATAATGGGATTCCAGGTCAGGTATGCTTTGCCTTAAACCCGCACTAGTTTAGAGTTGCTATAAAATGCTCACTGTAGAGGTTGGGTGTTTTTGTAAGACCACTGGTTGCTTAACCAATGGTGTGTGTGTGTGTATATATGTGTGCATATATATATATAGATATATGTACAAGATATCCATACATTTTCATCTATGGTGGACCATCACTCATGGATTTCATGAGTAAAGCAGAAGGGGATTTCTGCCCTTCTCTGCCAACGCTTTGGTTGAATAAACCCTGGTAGGTCTGGTTTTCAAAACAGGGAATCATGGACACACATTGCACTGTCTCCAGTGTGACATTCTTCCAGACTCCTCACTGCATTCACCCCTTCCTTTTTGTTTCTTCTAGAGGAGCACGGGAGTCCTTACCAGTTCCCAGTCACTGGGGTGATGGACCATGGTGGCTTCCTTGTGAGTGAATATAGAAATTTTTTTGCAATGCATAATCATGATTATCCACTCAGAGAAACGAGGGCAAAGTTGGTTTCCTTTCTTCCATTTCCCCTAGATGCTTTTTCCCAGGTGGAATGTGATAGATAGAATAGTAAGTTAATCAGTTGGAGAAGGTCCAGCCTATGGAGAATCCTCCTTGTAATGCTGGGTTCAGGATGACAATGCACCTTTTCTATGGTGGAGTGTAGTAGAAGCCTCTATTCTCATTAATTCCAGCTGCAGAAGGTTCTTTCCTTGCTTCTATGGTTGAGTTTGAGAGACTTCATCTGCCACATAATATTGGCAACAAGATGTCTGTGCTCTGTTCCTACAGTTGGGATATTGTTTCTTGCCCTCTTCATAATTCTGGTTACAGGATGTCTCTGCCTTGCATTTCCAATTGAGTGAGTTATGATTTTGCTCATAATACTGGTTAAAGCTTTACCCTGTTCTTGCAGTTGAATCGAGGCAACATCATAACCCCATAATGCTGTATTCGGTTTGTTTTACTTCTTGCTCTTATGATGGTTTTGTGAGTTTCTCCAGTTACAGCCAAATACTCACTTCCTCTTCATAATTGCAGTTGCTTGACATATGACACTTTGTTTACTTACGGTTAGGGTTGTTGGGTATATATTACATGGTCCACATACCCTAGCCCCAATGTTATTACAATTTGTTTTCATCCTCAACTGTATAATGCCTAGGACAAGTTATGGAACTTTGTCTGTCTGGTTGAGGTTGAGAATGTACATAGCTCATTCCATTTCTTTGTTACTATAGCTTGCACCCATCAAACCATATTTTGCTTGTGTAAGTAACTTACTTTTCTGCTCATTTTGCATTAATTTCCTACTTCCAGAAGCAGTGTGGTGTCACATAGGTGTGTACCTGTTCATTCTTGGTGGTCGCTTAACACTTGGTTATATATTTGTGTGCCTACACCAGCCCCTCCACCTTTGCAATCTAGGATTCTAGCTTTGTGTGGGAGGAGGTAAGACCATATTGAAGTTCAAATTTTTTGTATGCTGAAAATGTATTTCCGATAGGTACTTACCTCTGGTCACACACTTCCTACCTATGATGAGCGAGTTGAATAAAGCCAGTTTTATATTACTGGATACAGTAACATGAGTGCACTTGCACTGCATTACTGTAATGTTTGTCAGACATGGCTGAAAGATCAATAAAACAAAAATATTAAATATATATTGATGTATAATGTTATGAAGTTTAAGCTATTTAAACTAAATATTTGTGGTTTCATGTTATAATTTGTTGTCATTCTAGAAAGGAAAAAGAATAGTTTATATCTATTTCCTAATTTTTTGTGTCGGTTACAAGGTCAATAAAATCGGCCAATCCCATACAGAGATAAAGTAGTGAAAATAACAGATAAAATATAAATTTTTTTCTAAACAAAAATGTTTAATAATTATCTGGAGGTTATAAAAATTTGGCACATGAAATCTGACAATTTTCTGATGTATGAAAGTATTTTTTTTAATCTTAGAATCAAAATTACTTTGCATGTTGGATAGTCAACATCGAAAAGAAAAAATGCCTGAGCAAATCATTACTTAAAAAAGTTTAAAACTTGATAAAAAATCTGATATATTGTGTATGGAAACCTTGCAATGTTTACTGATAATTTGCAAAAGTTTGTGAAGATAGGGATATTGTATTAAAAGTTATAGTAAAAAAATTAAAACAAGCACAAAATGGTTAGGAGATCAGTCCCTAGGACCAAGCCCATAGTGAGAGAGTTGATTTTGTACTATGTGATGGGGGCCCACCCAAGTATTTTGCACCAGGGACCACAGTGACCTAGTTTCACCACTGTTGTTCATACCTTCTGGCAATCCTCATTCCGTAGATCTTGTTCCATCCACATCTATAAATTGGTTTGTGCAGATGATCCATCTTGTTTATCATGATGTTCTCAACCACCTGCAATGTGGATTTCAGGTTACATCATATGGCAATGTCTTTGGCTTCCTGATCTCTATAAAATTTAGTGAATATCTTATAGGCTAGCATGGGAGAAAAATCCAAATATTTTACCTTAATAAATTCACTTTATTTTTAGTTTCAAGATTCCATATACCACCTGTGGTTATTTTACAGGCTCAGTTGAATTCATCTCTTGTGTGTTTTCTATATTCTGCTCAACACTCCTTGTTAACCATTTCCAAGGTGTCTGGAAATGTGACTTCAAAACAAACAAGATACAATAATTAAATACAATCTCTTATTTATCAAGTTTCTGTATTTATACCAGTTCATTCAGTCAGGACTTTGCATCTCTACATTTGTCTTGGGCCCCTCATGTATTTTTTATTCCACCCAACATCCCTGTTCATTAATCGAGGGATGTCTGAGGTTGAGAAGTTCTCTTGTATCTTAAATATATACATGGACACACACGTGCACACGCACACACAAAAAAAACACATTGTCTTTCCTTTTGTGAAACACAGAATATGGATTTCTCTAGTCAGGACTCTTTCATGTCACATGTACCTATTCATTTGTCCTTAACATGGCTACACTCTGTATGGTGAAGGTCCAAGAGAGAATATTGCCTTTTGGAAGTGGAGAAAGAGTGCAATCTGGTGGCCGATGATGTCTCAGCTAGTATCTTTCCCATCTACACATGCATGTCCTTGTGTGGCATTGGAACTCTAGTTTTGTTGTTTTTTTTGTATTTATTTATGTTTTGATGTTCCCATTCCACTGTCCTCACATTGTTGAGACCATTCTTGGGGACTGTTTAGGTCTCTTGGTTTCCACTGAGTACCTACTCATTTGATTGTTTGTGTAATCACTGGCCATTTTTGATATGGACATACTCCTGCCTTTTGAGTATGTCCTTTAATAATGCATGTCTAAGCTGTTCCTCCAAGAACCTTCCACTGCAAATGCAAGATATAAAATTCCTCATACCTGTTTATGCCACTATCTGTGTCCCATTGCCACTCAAAAAATTGACCACTTTGCCTGAATTAAAGGACATCGTAGGCAAAAAGGTGCCCTGCTGATAAGAATATCTTGTTTCTGAATGTTCTTTTAATGAGGTTTGTCAGCTCCATTCATTCTAGTTTTGGACTTTATTCAGACTGGTCAACTACATATTTCTTGTAGTATAGATTATTATCTTTCTGCTCTATAGCTTGTGGTATTATATTTTCAGTTTCTTTTCATGTTCATCAGTTCTCACCTCCTCTACAGTGTGGGTAATTTTGCTTTCTGTATTTCAGGGGTAAGTCTACCTGATTTTAATTTTACATTTTTATAATTAAAATAAATTTCAAACAGGCACTTAATCCTGAAATACTTTCCCTTCTGTCTCCCCACAACTGAAATTTCAAAACATCTGCAACTTTCAGTAAAATATAAATTGTGGCAGGACAGCAGAGCTAATGTAAGGTTCCCTGATGCTTGCACAGTAATTCACATGGAAAGTGGAGAATTATGGTAAAATGAGGTATACTCTGTAATGTGTAAAGAACATTTATGACCTAAACTCTTCTTGGAGAAATAATAATTACAAACGGTTAGTCATGATAACATTCAGTGTATCCAGACTTTCCACTAATATGAAAAAAAAAGACCAACTCAAAGTAGAATTCTGGAGTACAGTAGACTTAAGACACTATAATTCCAATCTATCTGCATTAGTCTATCATAACAGAGAAGAATACTATACAATAAAATTTATAATATTTATATGATATGAAACATATGCACACAAGAAAAAAGAAAGGTAAAAGAATAATTTTACATCAACTTAATTGATAGCTATGGCCTATCTTTGTTATCTATTCTGGAACTAAACGTCATCTATCAGTTTTGATTGTTCAGATTCTAGTATAGAGTCACAAGTAATAATAGTTGTTATACTGTATCTGTACTTGTTTCAGTGAGGAAAACATCAAGAATTTCTGAAAGAACTAGTTTTACTTATCTTAAATCTGTAGCAGTTGAAAGAACTGCTTATTCCACCTTTGCATATCTGTAAAGAATGTATCTTCCATCCATAAACTTGCCCTAAACTTTTAGCATAACCATAAGTTAGAAACTTCCTCATCTGTTCAATAGTGATTGAGCTTATACTTGCTTGGTCCCGTTTCCATTCATACCCTCCTGAATTGAGGACAGCCACACTTCAAGCTATTATGCTGGTTATCTTTGGAACAATCATTGACATAGGCAATCAAGAATAGTGGGATATCCATAGGGTTGGATAGTTAGGGGAATTTGTTAATTGATTAATCAGTGAGCTCATTAATCAATTACATTCAGCTAATCGATTATTACATCATCAAATAAAACAAATGTGTATGCAGTGATCATCATCAAAGTAAAAACTTGTAACATTTTTTTTTCTTTATTTCACTCATAAGTTCTTAGGATTATATATAAGCCATTATTTTATAAAATTCTGATTGCATGTGTTTGATTATAACTGGCAAACCCTTAGAATTTATCCTTAGGGTCCCCTTGGGAATAATATAGGGAAGCCAGCATTCTGATTTGACTCTCATATGTCAACCCTTGGAGACCCTGTGTACTCCCCATGCTATTTTATTGATCCCAACAAAATTGATATGATGCATCCTTAACCCTATTGATACGGGTAGCTAGGGATCAGAGGGCATGTCATCACGTTTGTAGACTTGCATTCAAAACTTGATTAAACCACTATTTTATGAATGCATGTTAATAAACTTGGTATCAAATTGTAGATTTTAATTCAAATTTTAGTACTATACATTAGTTAATTTCTTAATTTGAAAGTAAATATAAAAAAATTAAATTGCTAAATATCGATTTTTTGTGTGTTACACTGGTATGTCATCTTCTGGTTTTGGTCAGATTACATTTTATGGAGCCCACAATATGTCTGCAGTTTCATACAAATTATAAACTCAAATTTCTGATATTGGCAAGCTAGAATATAAAATAATACACTTACACCTTTTCTATTTGCAGAGAAATGATAAATTTTATCGAATTCACAATATTGGCTTTGCCCACTGCTTCATCATTTGAGATGACTTGTTAGTCAATGCCTTCTTTTTAATATAAGTTTATAACTAATCAAAAGCTCTCCATTTTCTCTACATGATTCTGTTAGTCTTTCTAAGTTATTTACAAGAGAAAAGCTGGTATGTTGTTGGAGAGTTTGAAATACACTATATTAGGACCAATGCTATTTTCTTAGCAGGAATTAGATTTTTTTTACACCCAAATACAGCATAGTTAGGAAGCCTGGTAAATTACAATAGATTTTTGTAGTATAGGTATAGTCATTTATAATTTTTTGGTATTCAAAAATGCATACATAAAGTCTACAAAAATTATTATTTTCTACATCGACATGTGAATTTGGATAAGGCTTTGACAAGGGTTAGGAAGTACAACTCACGAGTGCAAAAGAGAACTTCAAAATATCATAAGTAGTGGAGATCATTGTTTTCCAAAATATTTTACTTACTGTTCTATGTTTAAGAAAATAACTGAAATTTAAATATTTATTTGTAAATATTGATTATATGTAATGTATAGTAACCCAAACCTCACTGTACCTTATGAAATATTGAAAACCATGCATTTATTGGTTTCTGTGTAAGCATCATGAAATAGGAAATGATGTTCATAAGCACTTTCACACCTATATTACCACTAAATCCCAACCACCCAAGGTTATTGGATCAGATACAACTTTGTACAGGGCCATATCATAAATACTTTCTCCCACTTTTATATAGTACTTAAGACAATTCTTGTTGCAACTACTATACTGTGTAAAAAAGCTGATAAATCCTAACCCACTGTGTTTTCAGAGCCAGGATTTGAATAAGATCTGCAGGAAACATCCACTTATTGACCAACATTCAAATACCTAACGAGTTTATTGGATTGGCCCAGTTATTCTACAAAGCCATAGCATAAGCATTTTATAATACTTTAGACAATTCTTCTTGTAACCATTATACTGTCAACAAGTTGATAAATCCTACCCCACTGTGTTTTCAAATCATGGAAAGTTCTGGGAATTGTACCACAAAAGTTTATCTGATATTGAGGGTGTTAAAGTTTGGTAACACCTAAACAGGAACAATGATTCTTTCCTTTATATTTGGCAGGTTTCTACTTCAGCCACTAACAGTAGAATAAACAGAGGAAATAGGTGTAAAAAGATTAGAAGAAACTCTCAGGAGATTTACTTTGGAAATTTGTTGTCTGTTACAAGGACAGACAGTACTATTCATTTTGTTTCTTCTAGTTTCTAAGCCATCTGCTAGTAATAAGATAACTACAGAAAATAGGTGTGAAAAGGTGAGAAGTGTAAACTCTGACCATAAGTACTTTGAAATTTTGTGATCAATACTATACATTTTATTTTGCATTTGCAACCTTTATTTTTGTTATACTTTGATCACTTACCTATAAGCTGGAGAATCAAGTAAAATATTACAGTAAAGAAAATAACAACTAAAATATAAAGCTTTACTAAAAATAAAAATGTTTGGTATTTAATTATGAGGTTTTTATTTTTCATTTGTTTTCACTATTTATTATTATAAAAGTAACTAAAATGTAAAAAATAGAAACTTATTAGGCAAGATAATGAGAGAAAAAGAATAAAAATCTTCATTGGGTGTAGGCACCAGCAGCTTGTGAGTTACACTATTAGATATGGTAACAGAAGCTGCAAGTGCACCATGTAATTTTCAACTTCTGTTGGGGTATTTTTAGTCAGAAACAGTTGAAAGGTCAATAAAACAAAAATTAATAAATATAAATAGATGTATACTGTTACGAGTGGCATGGTAGAGGGGGATGGTCTTCAGATGTGATCATCCTTGTGTCTTCCCCATGTACTGAGAGAGTATGTCAGTTAGTATCTATATATTATGTATACATAAAATATGATTGTTAATACTCGCACATCAGGTTTACCCACTTAACAGATGGCAATAGACAGAGAATATAACATAAAAATAATACCTGTTTCAGTGTTTAAAATCTTATGAATTATCACTTGTAAAACATACTTGCATACTGTAATTTTAGTGACTTCAAAAAACACTCAATGTCAGCATATACCTTTATACCATGTCTGCAAAATCACCCATTTACAGTAGATATTATGATAGATAAACATTATTGATTTAAATCTTTAGAAGTTAAGCAAACACTTCTTTAATCAGTTCTCAATGTGTGAATCTCAGAAATTTATTTTCACTTTTTACTGTTAAATAAAATCAAAATAGTAAAAGTTATAATTTACTTTTAGTGTTTTGTGGGGTAGGGAGGAGCAAGTAGATTTTTCAAATTTTTTGTCCCCTTAGGTAAGAAGTTTTTCAAAAATTCCATACCATTGTATGGCAAAAATTTGATCAGTCCACTAGAGTGAAAAAAAAATGTACATTTATAACCTTGTAATGCAAATGTCATAATGTACAACAATTTACATAAGTGAAACATTGAGCTTCAAATTTCCTATTTTTAACATTTATACAAAGGAAGGATTAAAATCAAGAACCTAATGATAGTTTTATACCAGTCTTAAAGCCAGGTTAATTTGGCTCATCTTCTTGATTGAAAGCTTATTTATTATCTTCTTTGTTTTGCTTTCTACTGCTGAAAAAGTAATAAATTACAAACCTTTGCTTGTTTTAAAGCTTCTTCTTTCAAAAGGACCTCTGGTAGGCCTCTTGATATCATCCAACATCGCAAGGTATGCTGAGTTTAAGTGTGCAACACGAGTTTTGACATACATCAACAACCATCTGGAACAAGTAAGCCAAGCACATTCAAAATTAAACAACTTCATTTAAAACTGTAGGCACTTTTCTAGTCATTAATAATATGTTTTCTTTCAGTGAAAGGTCTTCATTAACTAACCTTTTTTTAATAACAACTTTTGTGTCTTTCAGAAAAGTAATAATAATAATAATAATATTTTCAACTGAACTTTGAAATTAAATTATGTGCATGATTGTGTATGTATGGTTAAATCTTTTCGAACTTTTCATTATTGGCATGTCACAAGTATCAATATTAATAAAAAAATTAAATAAAATACAGAACAGAACAGTAGCTCAAACTTCATAGGACATTTTGCCATTAGAGCAGACATGCAAGACTGGTTTTGATATAAGTGTTGGTTTAACTATTATGATAACTTGAGTTCTTTATCTAGAAAAAAATGTCCTATCTAATTTCATATTATCCATCCTAATATTTATAATCTGATACATCAGATATGTATTTTTGTTTAATTTCGTAAAAGGAATACTAAATTTTTTATGTCATTTCCTTTCTAGCTTTGTATGTAAGGCAGAGTTCTCTGGCTGTCTGGTCTTATACATTATTTTGAGAAACTGCTTCAACCAATTTTGATGCAACATTTAGTGGAAGAACTGGTATTCCCACCTCAAAACCTCAATTTAGATACATAAGCATTTAGATGGACAGGTGTACCAGATGTGGCCTAGTGTTTTACATCCTCAGGTCTATGAATCCAAGTGTTCATGGTTTGTGTTACAATGCTGCATAATTACACTCTGCACTTTAAGACCATGAGTGCTTTATAAGAGTAACAGTCAAATCCCAAATCAAATTCGATTAGAGTAGGCCAAAAATTGTGGAGAGTGCTGTTGACTATCTGCCTTCCCTGTATTCTATCTTATCAAAATTAGAGACAGCTCATATAACTCATTTGTAGCTTTGTAGGAATATCTGAAGCAAACAAAAAAAAAGTGAGAAACTGTTCAAGATTGGCAGCCATTTCAAGTATAATACTACAGAATGAGATCTTTAATAAAATATGTGGAGTCAGATACAGATTGGATGAATGGTTCATGTGCTACAGTCCAAAAATAGAGAAAGTGGGCATACATATTCTCCATTTGTAGCATTGCTTGGTATCTCTGTTAGTATGTTAAATTATTTCATCTTTTGCTGTTGTTGTTTTTTCAAATATGTATTTTTTCGAAAATTTCTGCTCATTTTAGGTGCCATGCTCTCGAGCTGATGTTTTTGCTACAAAACATGTCTCTGTTGTAGAAAAAAGAATGCTAATGAAGCTATTAACATTCTGTCTACAATTTCAAAAACATCCTGAAGAGTATAGAGGTATGAAATTCTTAACCTAAGTAAAAGAATAATCCTTCATATATGAAGATTGAAATTTCAGTTAGGTAATACTTGTAATTTTCAAGTAAAAACATCTAATTTTAATATGTTTTTGTTTTTTTTAAGTTTGATTTTTTTTAGAAAAAAGACTGAATAGTACATGTTCTGCATTAATTACACTTCAATATCAGGAAAAGTTACAGATCTACATATCTTCATTTAATGTATAATATTATAATACTTGTAATATTTTAATAACCTTATGGCATAACCTTGTTTGTAGTATTGACATTACAGCTTGCCACAGCAACATTACTTTAACATGTTTGCTGCCACTAGTAGTATTAATAATTCCTACCCCTAGTGCCATTCAAGAGGTTCTGAAGAGCAGTCACAGTGTTCCAAATGCCTTGAATAGTGGGCAGGTACCAGAGGATTGGAAGTTAGCTAATGTAACTCCTCTTTTCAAGGAAGGTGATAAAAATTGTCCCAGTAATTATAGAACCATTAGTCTCACATCAGTTGTGGGGAAAGTTTTGGAAAGTCTGTTAAAAAATGATTTGCAAAGTCAGTTAACAAAGTTTAGAATTTTATTGGATAGTCAACATGGTTTCATAAAAGGAAAATCTTTTGACATTCTTTGAAAAGGTTACTGCTTATGTAGATGACGGTAAGAGGGTAAATTTGGTGTATATGGATTTTCAGAAAGCATCTGACAAGGCGCCACATAAAAAACTTGTAAAAAAATAATCTCTATGGGTGTGGGGATAAGTTAGCAAATTGGATAGAAGATTGGCCAGATGGAAGAAAGCAGCAGGTTCTTACAAATGGAGTTCAGTCAAACTGGACTAAAGTCACAAATGGGCTACCTCAGGGCTTAGTCTTAGGACCTTTGCTCTTTTTGATTTACATCAATGACATAGATGAAGGAATAGTCAATAAATTACTTAAGTTTGCAGATGATATTAAGCTCTTGGTTTTGCTAGCTGTGAAGAGGATGCTGCTGATTTATGAAAGGATTTAGATCATTTA